ATCTTTAAAAACAGAGAAACTTCTAGCCTTTAGAAGCTAGAAAGGCAGGAAACAGACTAGCCTAGAGCCTTCAAAAAGGAATGTAGCTTGCTGACAACTTGATCTTAGGCTGGTGAGATCAGTGTTAGACTTCTGATTTAAAGAACATTAAACTAATACATTTATGTTGTTTTGATCTACCAAGTTTGTGGTAATTCATTACAATGGCAATAGAAAAATAATACAAAGGAAAATGTGTAAACTCATGAGAGGGATAATGTACAAGCATATTTAAGGAGTACATGGGATCATTTTATAATATAAAATATGAAAAAAATCATTGAAACCAATAAACATTTTACTTTAATAACCCAAATACAAATCATGGTGCTATTTTAAATTTTTTTGGTGGTTCTGGATTTGAATTTAGAGTATCATGCTTTCTAGGCAAGCTCTCTACCACTTAAGCCACACACCCCAACCCTTTTTGCTTTAATCATTTTTTTCAGAGGGTCTTGCACTTTTTGCCTAGGCTAGCCTTAGATGTGATCCTCCTACCTATGCCTCACAGGTATCTGGGATTACAGGCATAAACCATCATGTCCAGTCATGGTACTATTTTTTTTTTAATCATTGTATTATAAAACCATTACTTAGCAGCAAAAGGAATGAGTAAAAACTATTGTGCTTTTTAACAAACATTTGTAGAATATTATGTGGTTGGTAGTTATACAAATTTTATAAATGTTACTCATTTATTTCTTTAATCTTAAAAGATAGTTACTATTATTGTACTTGTTTTACAAAGAACAGACACAGTATTAAGGAGCTTGCCTAAGAATGCATTGGTTTTAAGTGGCAGAGCCAGAATTCAGTTTAGGTGCTTTGGCTCTCTTTAGTTCATGGCTTTAGCTAGCAGTCATGTTTCTTCTAAAGTAATAATCAAATTGTACACAATAGCAACATAATCATTATGTATTTCCTCAAAGTTGCTTTATATACTTTTTTAGACTTTAGCACTGAAAAAAAAACTTCTATGTATTCTGGATTATTTAATCTCAATTCATTCACTCAACAATCATTCACTAAGTATCTTCTGTGCTACAGGCACAGAGAAAAAGAGAAAAAATAAAACAATGACCCTCTTCTTAAGAGAGTTCACATACTAGTGGCAAAATTATGCAATAATTTATAGTATGACAAAATGTAAACTCCTTCGAACAAAACCTTCTCTGTGGCCCTATTCTCAATGAACTCATGACTTGGAAAGTGGACATTAACTTTGGTATGGAAAATGTCCCAATTCTTGCAGCCAGTGAATGTTACCTTTCCATGGCCAAAGGGACTTTGCAAATGTAAGTTACTGACCTTGACATGGGGAGAGTCAATCTAATCAAATAGATGTTTAAAAGGCTGTGACTACAGAGACCTAACAATGGAAGTGGGAGAGATTAGAGGGACCAGAGGATCTCACGACAGAGAAAGAGGACCCCAACCAAAGGTATGTCAGCGGCCTCTGGAATAGTCCTCAGCTGAGAGCCAGGAAGGAAAAACAGCAGGGGACTGAGGATAGGCAACAAACTGAAATAGCAAAAAACCGGTTCTTCCATTAAGCCTCCAGAAAGGAAAAACAGGCCTGTGGATACCTTGATTTTGTGGAACTTACAACCTGAAGAAATGTAAGATAATATATTGGTGTTGATTTGAGCTGCTAACTTTAAGTGTTCATTTATTACAACGGCAATAGTAAAATAACATTAAGACCTATTTTGAACTTTTTTCCTAAAAGACTCAAACATTTAAGAACAATGTAATATGCTAATATAAATTTAACTTCTTACAGTCAGCAATTTTAAACTATGTTAGGGGCATAAATCAATGTCTTCTTTATATTTTTATTATTAAACTCCTTAGAGCCTGAAACTTGCTAAGAGGCTAAAAGAGGATGTAGGATGTTATAATTCTTTATCTGGTTTTATACTTAAAGGTTAAAGGAATAATTTTTCTTCAATTTAATGAATGAGTATTCTCTAATTTTTTTACTAGTATTTCTTACATACGACAGGCAAGTTGTAAAATTTTCTTAGCATGCCTGCAAGAATAAATTCTAGATTTAAAACAACTAATGTACTGAATTTACAAAGCCAAAAAAAGTACTATGCCTTGCTTATTATCTTCTTATTCACTGCCTTTGAATTGATACTCATCATTAGCTCCTAGAAAATAAGTGCCATGTCTTTCTCTGGTTCATTATTTCATCAACACTGCATAGCAATATTCCTGACCCCCAGAAGGCTTTTATTAAATAGATGAATGAGGCCAGGTGAGGAAGTTTGTGCCTGTAATCCCAGCTACTCAGAAAACAAAGACCAGGAGGGTTGTAGGCAAAAAGTTAGTGAGATATAATTTCCCCCCTCAATCTCAATCAATAAAGCTTAATGTGGGGGTGCACAATTCATTCCAGCTACACAGGAGGCATACATAGGAGGCTTGAGGTCAAGGCTGGCACAGACTTACTGGTGAGACCCTATGTGAAAAATAACTAAACAGCAAAAGGGGCTGGGAAGTGGCAGAGTGCTTTCCTAGCAAGCATGAGGCTGAGTTCAAACCCCAGTACCATTAAATAAATACATATTTATAAAAGCAAGCATAAAAGCGAGTGCACACAAGGGAGGTATGAGGGTAGGTAAGACACCTAAAAAATTAGCTAGCATTTGTTGCCCTCAACGCAGAGAAACTAAAGCAGATACCTTAAAAGCAACTGAGGCCAATAGGAGAAGGGGACCAGGAACTAGAGAAAAGGTTAGATCAAAAAGAATTAACCTAGAAGGTAACACCACACGCACAGGAAATCAATGAGTCAACTCCCTGTATAGCTATCCCTATCTCAACTAGCAAAAACCCTTGTTCCTTCCTATTATTGCTTATACTCTCTCTTCAACAAAATTAGAGATAAGGGCAAAATAGTTTCTGCCAGGTAGCCAAGGGGGTGGGGGGGAGAGGGAGGGGACGGTGTGGGTGGTAAGGGAGGGGGTGGGGGCAGGAAGGAGTAATGACCCAAGCATTGTATGTACATATTAATAATAAATAAAAATTTTTAAAAAATCATAAAAATATTGAAAACAAAACTTCCCTGAAACCTGTTTACCAGCTCACTACAAAGCTAGAAGCACACTACATTGAGGGTAAACCCAGATTTTTTTGTTTCCCTACATTCTTAGATTCATTTAACACAGTTCAGATTTCTCGATAAGGTGACATCTTTATTATCAATAGATCCTGTGATATCCACTAACTACATAAAACTCCATGAACTAGAACTTCTTTCTAAAAATATCTTCTATGTCTGTTTTTTTTTTTTTAAACTTTGTCCCCCATTCATAAAAATTAAGTACAATACATCTGTAGGCTACCTAGGAGATGCAACATGACTACCTTCATTCACAACTAGTAAGAGGTAAGACTTGCTCTTCTTCAAAGAGAATTAATTTCTTATTCTCTAGGACAACAGTAACCAATATAAACATAATGGAACTCACATTCAGAATTTCACCTTCCAAAACATTTTTATTTCAACACATAATCGATACAAAATTTGCTAAGTTTTTATTTCTTTTTCTTCATACCAAGTCTTGGAATCCCCGTGCGTATTTTACACTTAGAGCAGACCTCAATTCAGACTAAGCACATTCCATGTGGCTAGTGGGCACCATATTAAACAGGTGCACTTCTAGGCAATGTCCTGTCCTGTCTCTAAGTGAACTACAAATCCTGTCCACGTGTAGCAGTTAGTTCATCACATTTGTTCTGTTGGTTCACCTGGTGGTAAGGACTGTTTCGCTAAGAACTATCCTCCTCCTCCTCAGGCCCATCCCCCAGATCTCCTTAACGCACAGAAGGCAACATTCCAGGTATAAATGATGTCAAATTGTGTATTTTTAATGTAAAAGCGAATGTGGGCAGTATTGGGGTTCATTAATGTTTTCTTTTTTGTCCATAACGTCTCAGAATCTGAGTAACTCCAGACCACAAAACAATACCTGAAATGAAATACAAGCAACAACACAAGGCATTTCTGAAAAGCTGCTTTTACAGGATAGGTTCCCGTTTAACAACAGAGCTTCTGTAAGACCAAAGTGCTCCTTGAGGGTTTAAGGCTGGGGTCTGTACAAGAATAAAAACTTTCTTACACCCCCGTGGGTTCGGTATCTGTGCCAGATTCCTTTCAAACACTATAGCCAACCCCCCCACCCCTCCCGGATACAGCTATTCACACTACATAATGAGAAGGCAGTGGCGATCCCCAAGGCTGGTTAGTGCTCTTCCGTCGGGCGCTCCTCCCAGAGATCCTGATCGGTTTCCCCGGGGTGGGCGACCTGACCTGCCTGGCCTGTGTTCCTAACAGCTACAGAAGATCTGGGGCGCCTCTGGGCGGGAACCCAGCCGAGGGCGCGCTGCCGCGAATGCACAAGCTCTCTCGGGAGCGACTCTGCAGATGGACGACTGACCCGACCCGCTTCCTCCCTTCTCGAGCCTGCAGCTCTCACCACGTTACTGGCCCTGGACACACTGGCCTGCCCAAGGGCAAGGTGTCCATGTGCCACCCAATCCAAGGGCTCCCTTCTCACGAAGTCGTCCCTCAGCAAGCCCTTCTCTCAGGGCGGACGAGGAGACCCCGAGGTGTGGAACCGCCCCGCTACCACCCGGCGGCGCTTCTCCGGCTGCCCGCTGCGGCGTCCTCCAGCCAAGAACCCGACCCACAGCGCACCGGCGTCCCCGTGGCCCTTGACTCTACAGCCACGGCACGCACGGCCCCCGACTCGGAGGGGCTGACCTTCGCGACTCTTCCGCCAATCAGAGACGATTTTGTTGACCAATCACAGTGTGCGGAGTGTCATCTTCGGCTCTTCGGCTCGTCGGCAACCTCCGTTTCTGGGCCTTCGTAGCTCCCTGAAGCGTAATTCTCGTTGGTGTGATTTCCCTTTATATTAAACCACTTCCGGGTCCTGCGTCGCTCCGGAAGCCAGAGAGCTCCGGAAGCCTGGGTAACCCAGGTTCTGGTAGGAAAAGCTAAGCCTTGCAGCGAGTGTTTCAGGAAAAGTTACATGGAGCGTGGGCGTTTCGCAGCCTGCTAAGGTTAGTGTCGGCCCGAGAGAGCGGAGCGCAAACCCGAGGTCCTGCTGACCGCCGGGAGGTCTTGGAGTCTCTCGACCATGTAATTTTCGCCCTTTGTTTGAGGTTCCCTGTTTCTTGGCTTCCTGTCTTCCTGGAAGAAGCAAATCAGTCTCTTTGATTACGGAAAAGGCAATAAAGCAAATCCAAACTCCTAAAAATTTTCGTAGGCTCCCGCCATGAAAAAACCAACAGTGCTAGAGTTGAGCCACGAAGTGACTTTTCAGAGATGAACTTAGAAATCTGTTTTTGCCCTTGGTGACTTTTAAAGACCTGTACTTCTTACGGACGGCTTTTGGAATCTTTCAGAATCCAAGGTTTATGTAAAATCTGAGGGTTCATATAAGGGGTTATATTTGGCCCATTTTTTTTTAAGTTTACTTAAATTTTAAACATTTTTGAGAGCCCACATAAAGCACTTTTTTAATGCCGGAAGAACTGAAGATTTTCCTGTAAAATTTGTTATTATTTTTTAAACTATGTTTCACATTGATTTCTGTTAAGGAATGTGATAAGCATTAGAATTGTTCTTCTGGGTCGTTAAAAGTCATTATTTGTTTACTTAATGATTTAGGTACCATTTCCCGTACATTGAAGGTTTAGTGGAAGGGTTTTGCACAGAATGAAGCCTAGTTGTTGGAAGTTGAAATCTAACATGTTGTGGTATTATTCTGTGGTGCCCTTTGCTAATTTTTTGTTTTCAAAATTTTAAGCATTTATAGAGGGATTAAGCTAACCTCCCGCCCCTAGTTTGTAGTCAGAACACCTCCCACTGATGTGTTACCTTCAGTTAAGACTGAACAAAATGAACCTAGAGTTGTTGACTTTTCTTTTTTCCCTTCCTTTTTATTTTCTTACTTCTGATTGTTCCTGTGTTACCAATTACTTGTGTCCAGAAAGATTGGAGTTGAATCTGAATGAGATTTGAATGAAGAGTGTGCAGTTACTTAAAATATCAAAATGAGAATCTCATTTCTTTCAGAAAAAAAAAAAAAAAAAAAAAAAAAAAAAGATAACAGGACATAATACAGAGTATACTACGTCAAGAGAATTGAATTCTAGGCCTGATTCTGGTTTGCCTTTGGCCATCTTTACCTTTTGGCTTAATTCTCATTTTTAGAAATTAGAGGTAACACTCAATCTGTGGTTTTTGAATTGTTCCATAAAAGAACTTTGTAGAAATCTCCTGGAGCCATGCAGGGGAGAGACAAAGCAGCTTTATTTTAACAAGTGCAACTATTTATGTGTTTTGCTTTTATAGCAGGGTGCCTGTTAAGATTTAATCCACATCTTAGACTAGGTAATCTGGCTTCTAGCATTAAAATTCTGTTTCTTAGGATGACTGTGCATTTGTACTCAACATACATTCTTTTTGATTATTATAGATTCCTAAATTATGATTATTATATACAGTTAATTTATGTAAAAAGCTCCAATGCAAGTATTCAATTTCATTTGTTTTACAAACAGGTTTCAAATTTAATTGTTTTTATGTTTAGAATTGTAACTCCTTATTTTCTTCCCTTTTGCATATAATTTTTGCTTTGATTGGTGTTCATAATCCTTGCAATGGGGATAGCAGGTATTTTCCATTTTCATACTCCATTTACATAGCTGAACCTTAACAGTGTTCGTGGACTTGTTTCTTGTCACATCTCTAATGAAGTTCTGAGTCCTACCTGCATGTTTTTTCTCACAGCAGCAAATAATTTAAAATCAAGTCCTTGCACACCAGCCCTGTACTCAGGTTCCTATAGCACAAGGAAATTGTGTGTCATATGCACTATTTTTATTTATGGACAAAAGTTCCACTCAGAATTGCTTCCTTTTTTCCTGTCTTGATAATCTGGGTTAGACAAAGAAAAAACAAGTTGCGTGTTCATTTTATCTTTTCATGTTAACTAATAGCAGTTTCAAAGAGTCTGTGTCCCTCTTCCATTTGCTTGAAATTTACAAGAAATCTCAGGAGAAAAGCCCTGCTCTGTTCAGTTTTGTCCATGTCTATGAACCTGGCACTGGCCTTTTAAGCCCAGCCCTGTGGTTTCTGTACTGTCTTGCACCCTCTGTCCTTCCCAACATGGTCTGTTGGACCTTTCCAACATATTCTCACATATACAATCAAAATACCCTTTTTTGTATTGCTTTTCAATTTTTTAAATCTATTTTCTTCTCATCAGAGTTTTCCCTTCTTACTTGCCTGTCAGTAAGATGAGATAAAATTCCATGTGGGTTGTTTTTTCTTCTTATTAAAACACAAAAATCATGCAGGTTGTCTTTTCTTCCATTAATAAAACACAAGCCGGGCACCCATGGCTCACGCCTATAATCCTAGTTATTCAGGAGGCAAAGCCAGCCCTGGTAAATAGTTTGTAAGACCCTGTCAGAAAATAAAAGGCTGGTGGAGCGGCTCAAGGAGTAGGCACTGAGTTCAAATTCCAGTACTGCAAAAAAAAAAAAAAAGAGTAATTCTATTTTGATCATGCCTAACCCCTCCCTTCCAGTGTTCAATGAATGACTGGCATTATCTCTACCTTGCATATAGTTTCTGTATGTAACATTTAAACGAATGCTTATGCTCATTTTATCATCCACACATTCCCTTTGTTTAGAGTTGACATTCTGTCTCTTTGAATGGTCTTTTGACTGCATGTATAGAGAAAGAGAGAGACAACATAGATAAGATACATCCCAGGCAGCCTGGGCAACTTTACTATATTCCTTTAATTTCTTTCCCCATCAGTAGTTCAGAGAGCTTGGTGCCAGTCTTGTTTCTTAAATAATCCTGAGGGGAAGATATTTGCTTTGCATTCTGTGGGATTAAATTTGACCCAGGTCTACCAAATATCCATTCTACTAACTTCGTTTTGTGTTGTGCAACTTTTCTCATGTTTACCAGAAATTTACTAACCATTAGCTTGATGTAGATAGGTTGTTAATCTTCGCAAGATTTCATTTTTGTTTTCTTAGAATAGAAATGATAATACCTGCTGTGTTCCAAGCATTCAGTGACTTAAAAAATGCAAAGGAAATATATAATACCTGATACATATTACATATCACATGGTAGTTCCTCCTAGTTCATTACTGATATTTCCTTGTTTCTTTGGGCATATTTCTACACTCTCTTGTGCCATAAAATTGCAAGTATATGTGTGCCTTACAATAATTTTCAAGTAATCTGGAATTCTTAAGTAATTTGATTCTAAAGACCCTTCCTAAATTTGTAGATTATCTCAAAGGTCTGTTTGCTTCATGTGTCTCCTGTTTGCTGATTCTTGGATTAGAACTTTTGCAGAAGCTCATGCCTCTTAAAATGACTACATTTGTGTGTTTTGTGGTACCATCCAAAATGTTTATGTTTACATTTTAGGCCCATCGCCATGGCAGTATAGAGCACTGGTTCACAGCATAGCTCTGCCACTTCTAGCCATTTGAGTTTACATAAACTAATGTGTGCCCCAGTTTTCTTTTTAAGAATAGAAATAATAAAACAACATCTTTCTTAGTATTGTAAGGATTAAATGATTTAATATGTAATTTTATGCATGACAATTAGTTATGATAGTTTTTTGTTAGCATTCAGCAACTAGCAAGGAGTATGTATGTGTTTACTGTGATTGTAAACTAACAAATTTGTTGAGTTTGTCTTCCTCGATGTTTTACTATTACTTTCTGTGAAGCTTGTCTCTTTTTGACATGTCCTGCTGTGATTTCTCTATGAATTTGCAGCATTTTCCAACTCATTTCTGCTGTTGAAAAATGACCTTTTCGTTTTTTTTTAAATTCCTTCCCCTTCCCAGGCTTCATAAAAACACTTTCTGTAATTCTAGATAGGTAGATAGACTTTTTTTTTTTCAATATAATAGCAGTATAGTGTGGTAAAATTACTTGTTCAGATACAGCCTGTTAGTGAACCTGAGCTAGAATGCAAAATGATTGGAAACTGTTTTAACACTCCTTTTCCCTCATATTTACTCAAATAGCTGTTTATTTCTTAGCAATATGCTTTCTTTCTTTTTCTCTTTTGTTTTGTTTTTGGTGGTACTGGGGATTAAACTCAGGGCCCTGTGCTTGCCAGTAAGTGATCTGCCATTTGAGCCACGCTTCTAGTCTTTCTGCTTCTAGGGTTTTTTTTCATACAGGATCTTATACTTTTGCTCAGATTTGGTGGTCTTTGACTGAAGTCCTTCTATATCAAGTAGTTGGGACCACAGGCAAATGCCACCACACCTGGCCCATGCTTTCTCTCAAAAAAAACTCAGAAATACCGACTCTCTGAAAGAGTATGAGAACCTTACTGTTCTCTTAAAGACATGTGTGAAGCTAGGCTAAGATATTGGAAACTTTGTTTTAAGGTTTGAAGGTAGTATTTTGGGTTACCTTTAGATACTTGAAAAATGTACCATAGCTAAAATAAGAAAGATCCTCCGTTTATTGTGTAAGACTAATTATATCTTAAAAATTGTAGTATTTGTTTTGACTTTCCTCCTCCTGCAAATGAAAAAAATATTTCCCCCTCTGTGGCAAATGGTGTTTTTTTAATCACTACTCATACCATTTTTCAGTCTATTTTCACATATGTTTTAGAAAAGTTTTGTCACATATGAATTATCACCCCTAAAAAGAAAATCCTGCTTGGATTTTCATATAGAGTACATTGATGTTAAGAGGAATTTAGAGATCTAATGTCCAGTTTTAACATAGCTAATGTCTTGGCTATATCCAAATGGCCACGATTGGAATTTATAATATTAGCTTTCTGTAAACTACTGAAATTTAAAAACAATAAAGTAGTGACCAGTCTCTTAGCAAGTCTGTGGCAGAAGTGGAATTTGAACTTAGAGTTGTTGATTTCTGGGTTTCTTCAGAATGCCACAGGTCACAGTGTTCTAATGTGTCTCAGCCACAGCTTTCTCTTTTACCTATGCTTAAAGTGTGTTCTGGGAATTGGTGTCCTGTTAAAT